CAGGGTACTGCCGGAACGTACCCTAGTCACTATTTGATATGCCAATATGGTTAGGTTAAGGGTTAGGGTTAGGGTTAGGGTTAGGGTTAGGGTTAGGGTTAGGGAGTAGGCGTAGGCGACTCCCTAGACTCGTTAGTGGAGTAGGCGAGGTACGGTCCGGCATATTAGATAGTACCAGGGTACGTTCCGGTATACCAGACCGTACCCAGGGTATGTTCCGGCAGTACCCTGGGGGACATAGACCCTGTCAGCCATACTAGCATGTCTCGCACTACCCCAAAACGAGCTAAGTTTGTAAAAAATATTATGGTTACGTTAACACTCGCGTTGCTCCATCGATGAGTGCTTACATGCTGTGTAAATCAAAGGTTAAAGAATCCGTCGTGCTGGGGTCCTCGTAATAATAGCTGATAGAGAGCACGAGTATGGATTTATGCAGCAAAGTTTCTAGCAAACCCTAGCATCTATTGAGCCAAAGTATAATTCGATAATCTTGGCCACGCGAAGTCGCCTCGGGCAATGAAGACATTCAGCCAATTGTCCGAAAGTAATGTGGAGGGAAAAAATGATCAAATTATCTGTGAATGTGACAAATTGCGCGGGAAATTCTCTCCAATTTTGTGAGCTTGGTATGCACATTGATGTTCCCGGTTGACTCGAGTGCACACAAACCCGCGTCTACGTACCTGCGTGCGTGCATGGAATGTGTTGCAATAAGTACGCCGTTGTTTGTTCCTGTACGCCGTTGTGTGTTCCTGTACGCCGTTGTGTGTTCCTGTACGCCGTTGTGTGTGTTCATGTACGCATGCAATGTGTTCGTATATATGTGCGCATCTGTGTTTAACTGAGCGTGCACTGCAGTTTAAATCCTGACACTGGAGCACGTATAAAATAGCAAAGCCAGCCAACTTGAACCATTTTACTTCATTACCAACGTTTTAGTTTTATAGCAGACCAGTCATGCAGAAGCAATTCCTCTAGCAAAGAAACCACCGGATTATTTGTTAAAAGCAGACGCCTACGCCACGGCACCTAGGTGTATAGGAGGAGAACCATGTTGTGCTTCACATTTTCTACGTCGCAAAGGTCACTTGCAGTCGAGATTGATGTTTTGCATGATTTATGACTCGCACACATATAGTGGCTGGCAATCCGAGTCCCGCAGCGCCTACAGCCGTAGCGACGGCCGGGGTCTGCGGTAGCTTCGCAGCAGTGCACTCAGCAAGACTGCCTACTGTAGATGATGATCAGGGATAGCTTCAGTGTCTCAGTGACTCATTAACGCATCATCGAGGACTCTCATCTTTAACTGAAGCTGACCGACACGATGGATCGGTAAGGTACAGTTTGTGCCGTGGTAAGGATAGACTGTACACGAGACCCAACTCAATCCCTGCTGTGCAGACTGAATTTCTGCTTGCCAGGTTGACAGCTTATAAGATCATATGTAGGATGGACGAACATAGTTGACAAGAGCATGGGAGAGACAGAAATTATACAAGAATGTGCAATCTGAAGGGACACAGCTAATACCAACATGATTAACAAGAATCGTCAATGACTATATATATGAGCATGTTTAGTAGAAAGCGTCACAGCGTCTACAAGCATGCGTATTAGAGGATCACTGCCTAATTGAGTATGTTTAGTAGACAGGGTCACAGCGTATAGAAGCATGTATAGTAGAGGATCACTGCCTATTTGAGTATATGTAGTAGACAGGGTCACAGCGTATAGAAGCATGTGTAGTAGAGGATCACTGCCTATTTGAGTATGTTTAGTAGACAGGGTCACAGCGTATAGAAGCATGTGTAGTAGAGAGCATCACTGCCTATACAAGTGTGTTTTCTATGGATGAGCACAGTTAAAACCAGCAATTTTGGAGAGAGAAACGTATCATTTCGTTGCGAGAATACAATGTATGGAAGCAAATTTGGCTGTAGTTCAAACATACAGTCAGCATTACTGGTAGCAGTGTTTGAAGTTAAATGTACGAGTAAATACGGCCGTCAAATTAACACTTATAGAACCAGTATGTACGGTTGTGGGATCACACGCAAATGACGGTCATGGAATGAAAATACGTATATTCCACCACTTAGATGAACATGTTTCACAGTGCCCACACATATATATCATGAATGCTTCGCATGCGGAAAAATTGGTCGATAATATTTCGAAAAAAGCTTCGCATCCAGAGGCTTTTAGCGTAATAGTGCAATATATATGCATCCAACTTTTGGCGAAAACTTCATTGCAATACTTTGTGTTATAACTCAACGCGTCGTCAGAAGTTCTTACATGTATATCGATATATAATTGATTTCTAATACTGATGTAAATATTTGAAAGGGCTTTCGCGAAAGCGTTCGACCAGCTAACGAGACGCTGTATGCAATTTCGACAGACACGTGCCACAATAGTGTGAAGCCAAGTAACACTCGCACTTCTCTGGTGAAAATGTCATGCTGTAACGTAATGCAACGTGATGCTAAACTGCAATGCGGCATCCAATATGCGCGCGTGACTGAAACTGTTTATGCGCCCACGATCTGAAATTCAAGAGAGAGAGAGAGAGGGGGGAGGGAGAGATAGAGAGAGAGAGACAAGGTTCAACACTGTCCATCTCACGCGAGCGCATAATTATTTACCTGCGCGACGCCGATACCAATTAATCACGGAGCCCACTTAGCCTACCTGGGCAGCCTTGCCCAGCAGGTGATTAGTCTCGTGGTCGATTTCCCCTCCACACATACCCCCTCTACATTTGCTCGAACGCTGCTACATGCACAGCCGCCTGCCTACTGCTACTGCAGCCTCTATGTCGTCCCTCCGGATGCGCGCGGCAGGCAGTAATGTACAGTAGTGGCCACGCGTCGGCTGACATCGAGCGGGGCACATCTAGCCTTGCATCGTCACAGACATCACGCGTCACGCGTGAAGGACGCGTGGAGAACACGCGGCGCGGTGGCGGCATCGCCGCGGCGACAGCGGGTCGCCATCAAAGTGCGGCGGCGACATGATGAAAGCATCGGTGTGTACCCGCCCTGTTCACACTTCGCAAAGTTTCGCCTCGCCGCGCCTCGCCGAAAGAGCGTAGGAGAGAGGGGGATAGAAAGAGAGAGCGAGAGAGAAGGGTAGAGAAGGAAACAGAGGCGAGAGAGGGCGTGTGTGTGAGAGTGCACGAATGTGCGACTAGGTAGGTAGGTAGGTAGGTAAGTAGGTGCGTAGGTAGGTAGGTCAGTAGGTAGGTAGGTAGGTAGCTAGCTAGGTAGGTAGCTAGCTAGGTAGGTAGGTAGGTAAGTAGGTGTGTAGGTAGGTAGGTAGGTAGGTAGGCAGGTCAGTAGGTAGGTAGGTAGGTAAGTAGGTAGCTAGGTAGGTAGGTAGGTAAGTAGGTGTGTAGGTAGGTAGGTAGGTAGGTAGGCAGGTCAGTAGGTAGGTAGGTAGGTAAGTAGGTAGCTAGGTAGGTAGGTAGGTAAGTAGGTAGGTAGGTAGGTAGGTAGGTAGGTAAGGTAGGATAGGAGGTAAGGACTAGGTTAGGATAGGTAGGTAGGTAGAGTAGGTGAGTAAGGTAGGTAGGCTAGTAAGTAGGGATAGCTAGGTAGGGTAGGTAGGTCAGGGTAGGTAGGTAGGTAGGTAGTAGGTAGGTAGGCTAGTGGTAGGTAGGCTAGTAGGTGGTAGGTAGTAGGTAGGTAGGTAGTAGGTAGGTGTTGTAGGTAGTTAGGTAGGTAACGAGGTAGGTAGGTAGGTAGGTAAGGTAGGTAGGTAGGTAGGTAGGTAGGATAAGGTAGGTGTGTAGGTAGTTAGGTAGGTAGGTAGGTAGGTACTAGGTAGGTGTGTAGGTGTGTAGGTAGACAGGTCGGTAGGCAGACAGACTGGATCGGTAGGTAGATGGATTAGTGGGTGGATGGATGGATGGATGATGGATGGATGGATGGAGGATGGATGTGATGGATGGATGGATGGATTGGATGGATGGATGGATGGATGGATGGATGGATGGATGGATGGATGGATGGATAGGTAGACGGACGGACGGACGGACGGTCAGACAGACAGACAGGTAGATAGACACGCACGCACGCACGCATACGCGCGAGAGACAGAGAAAGAGAGAGACAGTGATAGAGAGGGGGAGACAGAGAATAAGAGCAGGGTAGACAGGAGGGGGGGGGGAGAGGGAAAGAGCAGTTCTGATAACGGGCTGGCGTTTGAGGCGAACGTGATATTTAGCCAGTCAGCGTTTCCGCAGGAGAGCGGCAATCTCTGTCACTAGTAATGGTGGCTGCGAGCCGGTTTTTGATAACATGTCACGTCTGACGGTGCATTTGGAGGCAACCTTTGCCAAGCTTCGACGTTTACTGCCATTTTCTGGAATGCTGCCAGACGATGTGAACGTATGTGAACGCATGCTTTGTACACGTACTGCAAGTTGTATGTGGAAATAGTGGTTGTTAATTACCAAAATCAATTCCTCTTCTCAGTTGTATACGTGCGTTTGTATTGACCTCTAGTGACATCTTTGTTACATGTATGCAGGCTATGTATATAAAGTTTAATTAAAAACCATTCATTATTATTATTATTATTATTATTATTATTATTATTATTATTATTATTATTACCAGTCTGGCCGTATGCAAATATACATGCGTTGTAGCCTTCCAGTGCGTTGACCAGTACGTCCACTCCAAGAGAGTTGTAGACATTCTCTTGCCCTAGAAATGAAAATGGTAACAACGTCATTACATGTTAGACTCATTGATTTGACAAGCGCTCTCAGCTCGTCCATGGGGTCTTACCGCCTGCTGTCGCTCTATCATTCTTTAACGAACTATTTATTACAAGGAGCATAACAGAAGTGCTTGCGTCGCACAGCTGTCAACAAATACGGATGATCAGATCGAAATCAGATCATATCGTCAATGGCTCATAAGAAAAGAAAGGCGTCAATTCAAAGATATATAAATTTTATAAGTATAGCATATATTAATTTAAAACCTGGCACTATTAATATAATAAACATGTCTATGAAGTATTCTTTACATGCCTTCATGGTAATGCAATTAATTATACTAATACAATTTATTAAAGTATTGCAATAATATTCCTTCCCGCCTGATATAACCACGGTATGAAAGTATGTATTTCCCGAAAACTACATAACAGTGCCTACTGCCAACTTAAAACGAACAGACCTCACAACAAAAGGCCTATATAGACCTACTGTGAGCATACTTGCAGTGTGCAAACATCACGAAATGTTCTCATTGAGCAAGAAATGTTCTCCGAAGTTGGCTATTTTGAAAACTTGCGTGTACGCAATTGTAATTTGTACGAAGTGCCAGATAACGCAAAATAGTATCCATGCGCCATAGCGCAAATTGTTCCTGGAATGAAAACACTATATTTGTTTCCTGGTTGCATAAGTAATATATATACCGATATATGATTTAAACAAATTTCACAATTTTGTACTGAATAAACATCGAATAATGAATTATAACTTGTTTTATCATAGAAAGTAACTGTTACTGAATCAAGCAGATCGCTCCGCTGTGTCACGGATGTGTAAACATCACGTTGGTGCTACGTTCGTAAGAGAAGTAATTTCGTTTAGATTTTGAGAAGAAATGTTATGAAAGTAGCAATACAAATGAGTTGTAGTGAATTTGTGCAACATATGCAAGCTCACAGTAGGTATATATAATTATGCATTTAGCTGCGAGGTTGATCAACTTTAACTCTCATCAGATAAGACAAAAAACCTTTATTCCATGCCTACGATTAATCAGTTATATATCAATGTTGTGTTTTAGGCCCATGAAAATTACACGCGAGAATTCACAAGAACTCTTTACATTGTAACACCTCTCTGTACGCATAAAAATAAAAACGATAATGAAACACTTCGCCACACACACGCGTGGGATGAACCTGATTTCAAGCAGCACTCTCTCTCTCTCTCTCTCTACTCTCACCGCGTGGATATAGACTAGCTAAGATCGATATAACGCACGCTGCGCGCTCTACGACGTAAGGCGACCGTGCAGATGGGATGCGGCAATCTCCACCACCCTGCCGCACGCAGGGTACACGGGCACTCTCCGCCACCCTGCCGCACGCAGGGTACACGGGCACTCTCCGCCACCCTGCCGCACGCAGGGTACACGGGCACTCTCCACCACCCTGCCGCACGCAGGGTACACGGGCACTCTCCGCCACCCTGCCGCACGCAGGGTACACGGACAATCTCCGCCACCCTGCCGCACGTAGGGTACACGGGCACTCTCCGCCCTGTACATCAAACATTCATTATAGATATCTTACATACATCATTTATATACATATAAATCTAACAGTGCATTCGTATCTCTATGATCACAGCCACGCGTGCCACACGCAGGGTATGTGGGGTTGCTTGATGCACATACACATCGCGGTATATATTGCGCGCGAGACAAAAAAATCGCATTTGCGACATGCACAGGTAGTTTTCGCATCGTATCAGAGCAAATCTGTCAGTGTGCCGCAGGCCGACCGACACTTAGCACCGGCGGCCACGTTCCGCTAGCTGTCAGACGAAAACCTCGCTTCGATTGAAATTCATAATTCGGCGCGAAAAAAGACGCCACTCCGCGAGCATAAATTGTAAACATATATATTTCATGCTGAACAATGCGGAAAGTGCGCAGAAATGGAGCGGCTGCAGAATTCCATTCCTAGTCAGTGAGAGACGCGATCAATACAACCTATATAGTTCGAAGGGCGGAGGGAACTCGGAGCAGCGCCACCTGTCAGCGTAGTTTGCAAACTTGACAGCATTTCACGCCTGATTGATCAATTACTTCATCGACTGTCAAGACGAATGACATGCGCACGTTACGCATTTGATTCTTAATTGTTATTAACATTTGTAAATTCTATTATAAATAAAAGAGTAAAAAGTTATTAAAATAATTTATTACAGACATCGAAAGACGCAGATCGACGCAGAGTATTTGGTTAACACGCGTAAAGTCGGGCATGAAGTAACAAAGGTTGCACATCATCCGCTTCAGTATAGATACACGCATGCGTAACTTGCACACTTAAAATGCCACACGTATACGCTCGCACGCGCACGAAAGCACGCACCCGAATCCCTATACGTATATCACAACGACTCATCCCTATACTGCCTTCTGACGCCACCTTCATACCCTCGTGCCTCATCGTACGAAACTCCTGCGTCGCCTTCTTTGCGTAACACGTACCTCCTCGCATCACACTGTAATATATGTGCTGCCACATACCGATATGTTGTGCTAGTGCCTTGTCACCCCCTACACCCCTAAGCCACTTCATTCCGCTGCCTTCGCGTGCCATCTCAACCCAGAACCATGATCCCCCGCGGTGCCTCCCAGCATCAGCTTGTTCCATACACCGCCTACAGGTACCACGGTGGGAAATCAACCAATAAGCGCTGGGACAGGTTAGGAATGAGATCGTATTTGAGTGTATGCATGCGCTTGAATTTTGTATTTCTCATTAGAAAGGGTTAGAACTCTTTGCAATTGTTAATTTCAGAAACTAGAATCTTTTCTGAATCCGACAGTGTAAACGGCTCGTCTGAGGTGCGTTGCTGGTGCAGCCGGGTAATTTTCAAAGAAAGCCTACTTCTCTGTGCAAATTCACATTGCAAATTGGCCATTTCGAGTGTGTGCTGGGAAAATGTTATGGAAGAATTTTTTTGTTAATAACATATATGGCGTCACTTGCGACTTGGATTCAGAGGATGGCATTGCTATTTGTAAAAAAAAACTTCGGCTGATTTATGGGAATTTTTTCGTAAGTATGGCCGCCTATGGAAACCGATACAGTAAAAACCCGCGTATAAGAACATAGATTTTTCCAAGTTAGCCTCAACATGTTCTTATATAAATGGTGCTTACTGAAAAATTAGGCTCAAAAGGTTCTTAAATAGGTTCTTAATTGTTTCTACTTTTAATATGTACTAGCTGAAACCCGCGCTATGCGCGGGCTTAGTGACTGTGATGCATGTGTTACCAGTACAGTAGTGTTATGTGTAAGGTGTTATATGGAGAGTTTAGTTGTTGCATATGTTTGTTTTTTTTATGGTTGAGATGTCAATACAAATACATGTACAATCATGCTTACACGTAACACATTAACCATTTGTTTGGCAAGTCTAAAAACAGTTGCTAAATGTACCCAAATTTTTTTTCATATAAGAACAATTTTATTTTTCAGGCTGAATGTGTTCTTATGAATATGCAATTTTTTGACTGCATTTCAGCCTGAGTGTTCTTAATCGACGTGTTCTTTTATGCGGGTTTTTACTGTATATGTAAATAATGCAGTACTGTGTCTCAATAGCAATGCCAGGGTGCTGGCATGTGTTATTGTTGAGCATTGGCATTGGCATTGGTTATTGCATCGATATTGTTGAGCTCGTCTTTTTTATTTTACCTGTGTTTCTTTTTAAGTCTTCATCTGCATGGAAAATTAAGAACCTACTTTAAAATCTTAGCCTAAAACAGGTTCTTATGTAAAGGGGTCTAAATGGGAAATTTTAGCCTAACATGTTCTTAAAATCTATGTTCTTATACGCGGGTTTTTACTGTATCCCACCGTGGTACCTAGCTAGTCAGTGCCTCATGCCGCTGCCGCGATCCCAGCATCAGTCAGTTGTCTCGGTCCCTGCACCAGTCATTTGCCTTGATCCCTGCCTCAATCCGTGCCTCACACTGTTACATAGATGCCCATACTAGTAGATGTCTCACGCTGATGCCTCGGTCCCTGTCTCAGTCAGTGCCTCAGAATGTTGCATCGGTGTCTACCCCAGTAAATGTCTCACATGCTTGTCTCAAACCCTGACTCAGTCAGTGGCTCGCGCCGATGCCTCGGTCTCAGCCCCCCCACCACCACCACCTAGATATCTCGACCATCCCCCGCATCACGACTGCACACAAAGAGTGGCTGGGCGTGAGACTGCATTGCGTGAGCAGCTGCCCATACCGACCGGCAGCACCCTTTCACATATGACGGCAGTACTTTATCGTTAATTGCATTCCGTATTTCAATCTCAGCTTCTCCAATTTCACGTCAAATTTAATGAATACCTCTGCCACGATGGACCGGCCGACGCGATCACAAAAACTATTTTGCAGCAAAAACTAATTGTTTCTCTGCAGTGCGACAGAGCTCGGGCGAGCACGCAGGAAGCAATATGAATCTCCGCGTCACAGCGTGTGAGCTCGTGTGTTCTACGTATAGCAGGCACGTGTGATGGTATAGTGTGACCAGGTTCGTTTGTACAACAGATACGTGTGCTATTGCACTTAAACCATACCCAGTATATTGTACTATAAACAAAGAATCATTTCAGTTACTCTATTCTTTAATAATCAACATCCGCCTGATAATCATATACAATCATAGGTGGCACGCAGGGCAATAATCAAATACGCGTTACAAATAGTTCATATCTTACTACCTAAGAGCAGCAGGCAGGTCCTCAGTCAGAGATGTCCGGCGGCGACGGCAGCGCGGTGATGAGAGCAGGTGAGAGCAGCGCGGTGCTGACAGTGTCGTGAACTGTCAGGCATCGTGGAATTGTCTCCCTCTTTCTGTCCAAATCGGTCGGTATTTATGTTTCTGGAGGTATGCGTGGCCCGAGCGTAGTCAAGGCCTTGTGGACGATGGTGGTGCAAGACGTGTCGTCATCTCCAACATTTTTATGGGTGACTGAAGGTAAGAAGCTCTGGATGCTTCTTGAATCTGGTGTGGGAATCGCGGCAGTTCGATTCATGTTCTCATAGTTCACATAGTTCACATTTGTCGGCGGCGTTCGTTGTTTGATCTTCATCAGTCAGCATGCGACATCAAACTGTGATGTCCTTCTATAGGTACTAAACTGTCACTCTGCCGTCGTGGGTGATAACTTTTACTCGTGTTCCAGTGACTCAGTTTCACGGGATGGCTGGGTGCATGGCATCTTTCGCTTGTTGCCTTGACTGCTATTTGTCGACTAAAATAACATATGACTTGATGCTGCTTAAGTTAAACAACCCGTGTCGCTAGGTTACTATAGGTTATACTATAGGTATACTATAGGTTAAATAATTCGATATCTACGTCATTACAGGTGGCGGTGGGAGGGCGATGACGAGAAGCAGGATTCATTTGCATGTCAATACAGTACACTAGCCATGATAAAACAGCCAACATAGGGTGTCGTTCATATCGACGTGCTCATGGTGTACACGAGTCGCGGGAGATCTAGAGTTAATGAAGCTTGCACAGCACATATTCGCGGCGCGCAAACGCAACATATACTGTCACAGGTGGTCACATACTTCACTGCCTGTTCCGAACCCGTGAAATTCTATACCAAAATTTTTCAAATGTTTGGTGAAAATTTATCGCAGATCAATTAAATTGAATGTTTGTGTATCTAGAATAAAGATACGTGCACGTTTTTAAGCATGTTACACATTACATACATAGCTATGTGTGTGGAGACATTTAACGCATTTAACGCACCGACGTGTGCGGTATATCTCGATTTCTCATTTACGAGCTTATTCGTGGGTTAAAATGGTTATATACACATAGACAAGTGTATTTCCGAGTCGACATAACCGAATACTATTTTTTGAGAAATTTCAGACCACCTTTCAAGGACCTGCGGTGATCGTAACTATACGCCCGTCGGGGTTAAATCACGCAGAGCTGCAGGACGTTTTTTTAGCTTCAACGCGCGTGCTGCATTAGCTCTTTAACACAGGCCGCGTATATATGTGTGTGTGTGTGTGTGCGCGTGTGTGTGTGTGTGCGTGTGTGCGTGTGTGTGTGCGTGTGCGTGTGTGTGTGTGTGTGCTGTGTGTGTTGTGTGTGTCTGTGTGTGTCTGTGTGTGTCTGTGTGTGTCTGTGTGTGCGTGTAGTGTGTGGTGTGTGTGTGTGTGATGTTTGTGTGTGTGCTGTGCGCTGCTGCCGTGCGTGCGTGCGTGCGTGTGTGTGTGTGGCTGATACAAACAGAACTTTCGCGACACAAAAACTCGCATGCACTGCACCTTTTTAAATGAAAACATGAATGTTGTGAAAAGCAATATCATGATTGTCGATTTAACTATTAGTGCTTCTCTAACATTAATTCCCGGTGCGCGTGCTGCTTAAAGTACCTTCTGCTCCGTAGTAATCTCTCCTGCCTCGTACATGCAGTTACTGCCGGATGTAATAATATCGTGCCACACTGTTCTAATCCCCCGCCACAGCGCAGTATTCTACTAGATTACCACCAACAAATTCATTCTGATGTCCAGCGCTACGAGCGACTTTCAAAAACGAACCGTTTTAACTAATTACATGGGTTTATGTCTAACTGATTATTAACTAAAAAAATCCATAAATGACTATTTATATATTCACGTAGTTAAAATCATCACAGCTTCTTACTAGCCTAACCGTGCAAGCACATTAATTTATCCATAAATAATTTGAAATAAATCTATTTTGTGCTGGCTATTATATTATTTATAAATAATAACAAATTTCCATTCCGATTAAAGTAATGTGATATATATATCATTATATATATAATTATACAGACCAACGCTCTAAAACAACCCTGATGTTATACAGAGTAGTGTCACTGTTTTGCAATCTCATATTTCCCAACTGCGCAAATCCTTGTCACGCCTACGCAACACACTCAACATCTACAAGCACACTCTATACATTGTGTTTACTACAATTACCGTGTAAAATAAAAACACGGGTGATTTTACGTTCGCGAACTTGACAGTTAACGAATAATTGTAATTCTGGAAACAGTACATCATTAACGTTTTCCTGCAAAATAGCGCAGCAGGCAGAAAACGCGACCTGCGTGCGCAAACACGCTGTAGCCCACTGAGTACCGCAAGCAGAAAAGTCGTCAGCGACAAGCCGAATTGAAAGAGGCTAATCGCTGTCGCAGGAAACCCGCACAAAGGCTAGCTGATATGCGCGACGTTTTCCAACCAAGTAATGTAAAGTGCGCGGATATTTCCCGCGTGCGTTTCTTCTGCACTACATCTTTCGGAACAGCACACCTAATGCAATTAACTTAACAACATCCAACGTCTTTCTCCCGTCGTCTGGCAATACTTTCCGATCTACGCGTATAGCTGTGCCTCGTCTATTCTCTCGCGCTACGGCACTTTTCATGCGCGTGGGCAGCTATATAAGAGCCGTTTACAACTATCAACACTACATTAGGCATGTACAGCTTATACCGTATGCTGGTGAACAACGTGTGGCCAACGACCACCGTACGCGTTTAGACATACGGTAGATATGAACGCCCCCTAACAATGTGTTGTTGTGCCCCGCGTGACAATAATTTAGGAATGTCCATACCTGTGTACTTGGGATCTTTCTCATCGATCGACCAGAAGCAGTTGTCAAAAGCGAACGTCTTCGGTGTTTTCCGGCTAAAGGAAACAAGGAAAATGCGTGTAAGATGAGAGACAGTCGCACTGAAGCCATTTACGTAAGGATGAAGCAAATGATTTCATCTAATAGTGAATACAGTGAGCGATGAAGACTGACAAATACGTTGAGCACTGTAGAACGTTGTGGGGAATGCAATTTCCTTCTGGACATTCGAGTATCGATATATTATATATAATTGAAATTGGATTTGCGTTCAACAGACAAGCTGATTCTAACTGCAATATCATGTAAAAAGCAGCAGCACGAAATGCATGGCTGTGAAGGGCTTCCATGCACGGTGCGAGTAGTACATCTGAGAGCCCATGAGTAGATGACGCCATTCTAAAACTGAAAACAATTACTTATATGACGTAGAGTCATAGGGGATCCGTTTCATCACGTAGATAGTATATTATATATATATAATATATCATGAAGTGATTAGTCTACCACGTGAACCACATACCAGTACCACATACCACGTACCAGTGAAACAAAAGACACGTTAGCACTGATTTAATCTTTTTGGAAATTTTATACCATAACACTCGGGACTGGAAACCATGTCTATATTACAGATATTATTTATTAACATATCTGGACATATCTCGTTGAGAACAACTGATTGGGGGTACCATCACATATACGCAGCTCAAAAATAAAATTGCCAATGAAATCCAAACACACACAGAGAACAGATCTCATTAAGCTCTTTCTTCAATTGCATAAATTATTTTACACAACAATTGTTTTTGCCAGCATCGAAGAGCCTGCCTACACAAGACTGCCTTGACTTTGAATGTCACACCCGAACGCCGCTGCTAATATAAATTGTTGTAATGGTTATTGATAAAACGACCATTTGCATGGCAACCATATACAGCACGAGTGGCCCATGTTTGCCGAAACGAATATTTCACATTAAATATTCAAGAATTTCATTCTATATAAAGCTCCTCCCACATCCAAATGAATTGCAAATGACAGCCAGGCTAATTGTAATTCTCATGCAAATTACGACACACAGTCAATACTTGCGGCATGAAATATGTATCATTTCTCACATAAACGCGATTCTATTAAAAGTAACGACAGCATGAATTAAGATTATAGGCCGACGCGTGGCTGGCCGACTTACTCGCTGAGTTTCGGCAACAGCTAACTGAATGACTTTACAGCTCTACAGAAAGCTTTACGTATAGGAGCACGATACGACACTGATCCTAGGAATGCAGACGATCTGCCACGGCGAGCACTAGGCGCTGCCGCTCAGATCCAGAGCAGTGTGACATTTCTTGCGGACGTATTTCGTGATAAAATAGTAAGCGTTGGCGTAAATATTTCACACGAAACCGATACGGTTCGGCGAGGGACTCACGGGCCTAAGTACTTCATAGCGTGACGGTACTCGTGCCACGTGCTGGGTAATGCATCGCCGATTGAGTGGGGCCTATCGGATCGTCAAACGTAATACTGGTAGTTATCTTCACTGTACTGCATAAAAATACGATCGCCAAATACATCCAGGAAAGCACAATTCAAATCGAAGCAACCAGTAGATAACGAGATTTCACTCGTAAGCAGAATCCTCAAATACCTGTTCTTCGTGTTGTCATGCCGGGTATTGATAATTGGATTTATCGCCAGTATACGTTGACCAAGTTGTTGTGATCGAGCCTTACAATAATGATTTCGTTATTTATAGTATATAAACACATGTTCATTGAAGACAACAGTTATATATTTATAAATATGCCCCGCCACTTGCAACCACATCACAGATAACAACAATTTTTAATAATATCGTATCAAGAGCTAATAATACCTAATAATGACAATAGTGTATTATTAGCTCTTGATCGTATACAGTATACCGTCTTCATTTCAAACAGTCTTCCCGACCGTTCTCGTATTTTCCGACCAATACAATATTTAATGCTATAGCCTATACGTAACAGCAAGTGTCTACAATAAAACGTCTTGACAAATTAATATGTCTTAAAACACTCGTGCATCGTTAGTTTCACCATTTGCTTGTTAACTTCTTGTTGACGCCGTTACATGATAATGTCAAGTGTTTCTGACGAGAGCCTGTCACTAGACTCTGTTAATTCCCACGTCCACCGTCCCTCGTCTAATTCCCCCGTCCGTCCCGTCCACCTGTTAATTCCGGGGGTTCAGCCCCCGTCACACTAGAGCTACGCTCATCACGATCGCCCCACGCTCAAAACGTTTGGCCGAGCGTGGTGAGAGCGTGCATGGCCAATTGGGCCCCAGCGCCGATACTACGATCTAAGTGCGTCTTTACCCCGATCTCATTGCGCCCAACAAGCTTTCACCACGCTCCATACCACGTTCAACACCACGCCCGCATCACGCTTGCACTGCGCCCACTGCGTCTTTATTGCGACCAATCCGATCGCATTGCGTTCAAAACGACGCTTTCACTGCGCCTAAGCAACGCTCACCGCGCCTCAACTGCGCGCAAATCACGCTCCTAGTGCGACTTCATCACGCTCTAGGCAGGCGCCGACTGCGCTGGCAACGCCCATATAAATACCGCGCCGCGTTCTAGACATCATCATTCGTTCTGCCGTGCTGTTCACATCAAGATTATTTTCTACTATTTATCTTCTATTTCTCCTCCTCATCCTCCTCAGCATGATGAGGGCTTGGCAATCAAGTAATTCGAGTTGTCCTTCTACGAGAAACATGGCATGGAGTAGTGTTGCCTCATCCATAGTGAACACTGAACTGGTGGGGTGGCCAAGGTAGCACCCCAATTTATACCCCAAGTTCGCAGGACGTGATCTGAGCGTGATATTGACCCAACTGACACGTAATGCGAACGCCACAACGGCGTGGTCTGAGCGTGTTGGGCGTAGTACAATCGTAGTACGAACGGGTCGAGCTTGCTAGAGACGCACCATGGTCATAGCGAGAGCGTGGTCAGGTCGCAGAGGCATCTCCATGGAGGTAGTAACAGCGTGATGAAAACGTATTGACATCGTGCTGAGAACGGGGAGACAATTTTCACGCACCCGACACGCTTGCGATACGATCATTAAGTTCATTAAGTACGCTCATTAAGTTCGTACTACTTACGTGGGTACTATACGCCTTCCACGTCTCTAATACGTCCGCACTGCGCTGTCTTTCCGCCACGCTCGGACCACGATTGTTTTGAACATGCTCAAATTTTGGCGACGCTCTCCACGCTCATGGTGACTGCACCGCGCTCGGTCGCGATCGCAGTACGTCCATAGACGTTCATACTGCGTTCTACGTGTTTCCACCACGCTCTAAGAGCGTAGTACGAGCGTAGTGAGATCGGGGCCTGGTGTGACGGGGGTATTAATGGTAACTGACATTAAGTTATAGAGACGCTGTATACCAGCCTACAACCACTACGTCACTGAATGAGGATTGAAGTGCACCTTTGTCTTGATCGTTGCCAACTTCAAGGGAATTATTGCGACACGAAAGAATGTGGCTGCATTATTTGTTATTTTATATTGCTATACGGTATTTTTATAATGGAGTAGGCGTAACACGTTTGCAAAAAATGAGACCTAATTTGTCTACATTTTGTTCGATTTAATTGAGAGGAAATCATTTCAGTATACTTCTATTCTATATATTTCTTTAATATTTGTTTCAGAAACACTGCCGATACCTATACTATACGCTACGCACACTACACACTCCAACTCCCACATAGGCACGCACGCGCGTACACACGCACGCACTCACGCACAGACTATAAAACTCATCAATACCCCGCTACGCTATATTATCAATAGATGTGTTGACGGCTATCAAACTTGACAATCAGCACCCTAAGGAACACAGCCTGATGAGCATCGACCCACACACTGCGCGCGCTGTCTCCTCCTCCTCCTCCTCCACGTTTACCCGCCTGCTGACCCTCACTCGCATAATAGTTCTATTCTGCGCAAAGTACACCTCAAAAGCCACTTCATTAATTTCGGAAATATACGCCGCCCTTGTCAGATTATTGACCAAAAATAAGAATACGCGCAATTCTAAGCGCCGGCAGCAGCGACGGAAATCTCTCACATCACATCACAGCGCCCATTCCCGCTCATGAGACAAGTCGTGGACAGTCGCACAATGAACCTGCACACACCGGGGATCCGCCACATGCCATGCAAGCGACGTACACGAACGTGCCGCGTGTGGCTTCACGGCTAATCTTCTCTAGAACCCCTGATCATATCAATTATTGCATTCTGCCTGTACATGAACTAGTCGTGCCAGCCACCAACTGGTGTCTAATATGGCGCCTTGAAAATCCCCGACTGAAAATAAAATAGATCTACAGCTCACGCTCTCGCTTATATATCTATTATTCTTCCAATAACGAATGCATCATCTCAATATATTGGAATGTATTGTGTGTGGCGTCCACCCTACCGGCGGGTATGCCCGCACACAACTCACTCTCATCTAGCACGCGCGCTCTTGTGTGGAAAAGAACCGGGGAGGCCTTTTCACCAGTTTTAGCAGTGCAACAAACACTCTGCAGTTCACATGCATCCAACGCAATTTATACACGCGCCGGTGTCCTGCTTACCATACTGAGAAACATACTGCCAACATAGTCCGACAAGGCATCAGCGTGTGACACACGAACCACACCGCGGAGAGATACACGGAGAATCGTGCCTCACGCAATGTGTTCCTTATCAAACCGACAACATCTATAGTTCAAAGGAAGATAACTATACTCTTCTTTCGCCTGTCATGTGTACTATGTAAATATCTGAGAACATGAATGGCCGTGACAGAATAACTGCAGGCTAGGCCTCGACGCTTATTTTCAGATCTGGTTGTCCTGTCGGGCAACAAGAAGCAATTTTTACTTGTCCGAATTAGAATTTTACTTTTCCACAAAATTACTTGCTGCAATCTAAGCCGTTAATCCGTCCTTTTGTTCAGTGGCTATCATATTATTCAGGATGTATAATATAATTAT